TTTGTTTGCATTTCTACCTTTGTTACCAAATTATAATCTCCTTGAGAACAGGGACTATGTCATTTTTGTTTCTATGTCCCCACCCTTAGTTCATCACCTGAAACACACTCATTGCTGTCAAGTAAATTCTGACTCATAGCGACCCTATAGGACAGAGTAGAACTGCCCCATAGAGTTTCCAAGGAGTGGCTGGTGGATTTGAACTGCCAACATTTTGATTAGTAGCCAAAGCTTTTAACCACTGCACCAGGTGCTCAGTATGTGCTATTTGAATAAATATTGAGTGAATTCAAACATACGTTAGGCCAAAATGTGAATATATATTTTAAGATAAATACTGGCTTTGTTAAAAATGTGATAGCAGAGTGGGCAGATGTATGGATAAAAAGAAGAACACAAGAGCAAAAGAGATAAGAAAAAGCAAGGGAAAACAGTAGTTTTACTTATGTGTGTGTGTGTATATATATATATATATATATATATATATCCTCCAAGTACTTTGATTTAATCCAAATAATGGAAAATAATTAGTTGAAATGCAGTGATTTCATTTTCTTTTGCTTTGCTCTGCCCAGGATCATTGTGTAAATTTTCCCTCCAGAGAACAGAGAGAAGAGCACTACTTCTTCTAAAAGACTTGGAGCTCATATTGTACAAAGCACCAAATACAGAGCAGTTATTATAATATATGAAGCATATCTGTATTCCTACTGCACCCAAGTGCATATTTACATTATAACTGAATATGTGTTTGTTGTACCCAAATCTGTTTGCTGAGTCTACAAGTCAGAGTCTCTGAAAGAAGCATACTTTTCTAACAGAATATTTGGCATCCTGGTCCTTGAAATATCCAAGAATAACATGAAAATCAATCAGTGCATTAAAAACATGGCCAAGAACTATAATGTGCCTTTGTTAACTTTAGAACCAGGTCATTGATCAGTCTGGGATTCCTAAACGGGAAATTAAGTACATTCTTAAAACACACTCCAGCAAGTATCACTTAAAATACTTGGTTGATTTTAATTTATATACCTAAAGTTATAATTAAAGAGTTGATACATGTTTTTAAAAAGTTCTTTTAATGTATTTCCTGCATATTCTTCGTAAGATCCTGGTTAAATATGTTAAAAAAATATGGACGGAAAAGCAATCCAATACTTTTACACAGAATTAGGTAAGGAGTAGATATGCTTTCTTTGTTCCACAAATATAAAAGGAATTCAAATGAAATGAATCCTCCCTGAATAATAGTTGGATTATATACAAAGTAAAAAGCACTGTGATAGGAATTTTGCACTTGCAGTTGTCGTGGATTGAATTGTGTCCCCCAAAACTATGTGGATCAATTTGGCTAGGCCATGATTCCCAGTATTGTGTAATTGTCCACCATTTTGTCATCTGATGTGATTTCCCTGTGTGTTGTAAATCCTGCCTCTATGATGTTAATGAGGGGGGATAGGTGGCAGTTATGTTAATGAGGCAGGACTCAATCTACCAGATTGAACTGTGTCTTGAGCCAATTTCTTTTGGGATATAAGAGAAGTGAGCAGAGAGACAGGGGGAACTCATACCACCAACAAAGCAGTGCTGGGAGCGGAGTGCATCCTTTGGACCCCAGGTTCCTGCTCGGAGAAGCTTCTAGTCTAGGGGAAGATTGATGACAAAGACCTTCCTCCAGAGCCGACAGACAGGGAAAGCCTTCCCCTGGAGCTGGCACCCTGAATTTGGACATCTAGCCTACTAGATTGTTAGAGAATAAACTTCTGTTTGTCAAAGCCATCCACTTGTGGTATTTCTGTTACAGCAGCACTAGATAACTAAGACAGTAGTATCCTATCTGATGAATTCAAACACAGGCTTAAAAATAGTGACCTTGGGTGACTGGCAAGATGGTCAAACTCTATGAAGATACAAAGAGATTACTGCATAGATAAATTGCTCAGTCTGGGTCTTGATGGGCTTGAGGCACTTGTGGCACATTCAGAGGAACCCTGATGGCACAGTGGTTAAGCGCTTGGCTACTAACTGAAAGGTTGTCAGTTCAAACCTACCAACTCCTCAGGAGAAACATGTGGCAGTCTGCTTCTATAAATATTTACAGCCTTGAAAATCTTGTGGTGCAGGTCTACTCTGTCCCATACGGCCTCTGTGAGTTGGAATCAACTCCACGGCCAACGAGTTTGGTTTTTTGGTTTATGGCAGTTTCAAATGCAAATATTTGTCAGTTTGAAGATTAGTTAGACCACTATCACATAGAAGGTTAGTAAAACCACAGATGATTACAAGGGTGTAGAAAGAGCAGATAAGTGAGCCAAAGGTGAAATCAGGTAAAACAAATGCTTAAAAAAGCAATTCTCAAATTTTTTTCATGCTAATACACATGAGAGATGGCCTTTGCACATGAAACACGTGTCCATATTTTACTGAAACTTTCCAAATACACTCAGAGATATAAAGCACTATCATGATTAATAATAGCTGCATAGTCATCAACGATCCCTGCAGATTATGGCATTACATAGATTTCAGATTATGTGCAATTCTTATTTTATTGAGTAAAGTTCTACTCACCACTACCAGTTGCCATAGAGTCCGACTCCAACTCATGGAGATGCCAAGTGTGTCATAGTAGAACTGTGCTCCATAGGATTCTCAATGGCTGATTCTTTTTGGAAGTAGATCACCAAGTTTTTCTTCCAAGGCGCCTCTGGGTTAACTCAAATCTCTACATTTTCAGTTAGCAGCAGAGTATGTTAACCACCCAGGGACTCCAAATTTCTACTACTTAACTCAATTTCTCAAATACCATATTGGTGTGCAAAAGGGTGTGAGAAACATTGAGATGATAACCTTAAATCGTCTCTAATTAATTTTTAAGTTGCTAAATTTGTATAACATGGAGGACTGTAGTGATAATTTTAAGAGCTCACATTCTACTTCAAGTACTTTGATAAAATCAATTACATACAATCCATCAATATAAATGACAACCATTGCATTTACAAAGCTTAAATATAAATATAAGCAAATACCCCTGATGTCATAAACAAAGAAATACTTTGAAACTAAATGCAGTACATCACAACAACATAAAGGGAGAGTTGAGGTAAAGTGCCAGATAAAAGGCATTGTTTTTTTTTTTACATCTAAGTTCAATAGAGACGGACAACAGAAATAATGGTAACTTTTAACTTGTTTAGGCCAAAGAAGGATGTACGCACTTAAGGAAAATTACTGTAAGAAGCAAAATAAATACAATTCCAAAGCAGTGGAGAGAAAAGGGAAGAATTAGTCAAACTAAGTAATTATCCTTAGAAGGAGAAAAGAAAAAAAGAAGAAAGAAAGAAAGAAAAAGAAAAAAAAATCCACCATAACAAAAATCATAGAACAAGATGGAACAGATAAATCCAGATGAAGAAAAATGGAAACAAAAGTCATGATATTGAAAAGCACAAAACAAGATGCTATGGATAATTCTAAATTTATCCATAACCAGAATGATGATAAATGCACTGAACTAGTATATATAAAGCCAGAACTTTTCATATTTGAATACAAAAAAAAATTATAACAGAAATGAAGATGTGTTGATATGTAATGAAAACTAAAAAAGTCATCAAAAACATAATTAAAAGAAAGGTCAAGAGTAAAAGAATGATAAAATATATGCCCAGGGTATATAAAAAACAAGAAAGCTATATTAATATAATAGATTTTATGGAAAAGATGATTGTTATCCCTTAATAGGAATAAAAATATAATTACTTATTGATAAAAAAAAAAAGAAAATAGCAATCTTGAGCCTTCATGCACATAACAAATTGCGTTAAAATATGGATAAAGCAAAAATGGCAGAATTAAAAGGTAAAATTTTCAAAGCCACAATCATAGCAAGAAAACTGAATATTCTCTCTTAGAAACTGATAGATCAAGTAGACATTTCAGCCACACATGGAAAAATGAAGAAAAATACATAGAGAATATATGCAATGATAATTGTTTTAAAAAGTCAATATAATTCCATAATGTTTTAGTAAATGTTACATATCAGTAGTATACCATACATATACTTTGACTCAAGTAATACAATAAACATAAAAATATCTGAGACCTTGCTTCTGGCTATAGTTACGTGGATTATGGCGGACCAGTGTAACTCCTATGAATAACTGGAAAATAAAATTTAAAAAAATATATCCGAGTCTAAACAGAAGCAGGGCAGGTGTGGCCTGAAGCAGCACAATAGAAGGTGTCCAAGAGACAGAAACACAGTCTTTACCACATATCAGAATTAGAGAGAATCCAAACTACATTCAGTATATTGCCAAGAAAACACTGGATAAAATCAGGGAAAATTAGTACAACTGCAGACAATTATGATTGTCCGGTGATAATGGCAGAGAAGTGTTATACAAGATTAGAGATCAGATGATCCAATACTAGGAATACTTCTATACAACCTTCCACCCTACCCAACCTAGATTGTTTCTCTTTATCTGAGAAGCTCAGAAAGGAAAGGAAACTCATATTTATAGAACATTACCTATCAGGCACTCTATCTTTGGGACAGAGAGAGAGGGAGTTGTCTTAAGTAGATGTCAAAGCAAGAAAGGAATGGGAAGACTTAGTCTGTATGCAAGGGGCTTATCCATTGTACTGAACATCCAGAACTCTCCCTGAACAAAAGGCTAGTGTATGCCAGTTACATTCAAGTTGATTTCCACTCATGGAGACCCTATATGTGTCAGAGTAGAACTGTGCTCCGTAGGTTTTCAATGACTTATTTTTCATAAGCAGATCATCGACTCAATGGTAGCTAACAACATTAACAGGGATTTTAAAAGAAAAATTGGGATGCATAATTAAGAATTAGTTAATTGAACAGAAACAACACTATGATAGAAAAAATAAACAGATGCTGAAATAATAACCCTGACCATAAGCATCAGCACCCACCTGGTTCCTATGAGGCAGACATTCAAATACACCCCCGTTCTTTTACTTCTCTACCATTTCTGACACCAGCCGTTCCGACCATAGCTCTGTTTCTCTATTGGGTTTGATAATTCATTGCAACAGTCACAGAGCACTCATGGAAATGCACCATATCTGCAAGAACAACTTTAATGTAACAGAGAAGGATATAAACAGAAACAAGATTCATAAGGCAAGGTTCGGGAGGGGTCCCAGCACTGGACCTCAGTATCTCAAGGGGACCCATTTATGTCTCAAAGGGGATCCGCTTACCCTTTCCAAAAATGGAAGTTCATTCTCACCCATCAGGTAACTTTCAAACAGAAAACTCAGTGATGTCATTTGGTGGGCTCAGCTGCAGGCTGCTCCTCTCAGCTGCCTCCCTACTCTTCCTGGCCAGCTCCAGGACAGTTCTTGGATGGCTCCTGCTCTGCATGTGGCCTCCGGCTCCGGGAAGCCCCTGCTCTGTGAGCAGCCCCCTACTTGGGGGTGCCCCAGCTCTCAGAGTGTTACAGGCGCTCGCTCAGCTTTTACACTTGGCTGCCATTGTCTGGGTCTCCTCGTTGTCTCTACCTCTTCTGGTACCGTCAGTCACTGCCTCTGTTGCAGTTGTATCGGTCAAGGAAGTTCTCAGTGCAGCATCCCTGTGTCCAAAGGACATGTGCCCCTCTTCATTCTCATAGATCAGGAGGCCCCATCTGAACCCCTGTGTTCTAAGGTTTTTATTAGTCACTGGAGGGGAGTGGGGACAGCCAACCCAGGTAAAGGTCAGTTACTTGGCAGGGTTCTGCAACCAATCCGTATAAAGTTCAGACCAGACAGGGCCCAGGAACCAGGACCAAAAGGTCATATTGCTTTTTGCTAAGATGGTTCCAATCTATGGATATCCAAACCTATTTCCATCAAGTTAATTCCGACTCATAGCAACCCTATAGGACAGAGCAGAACTGCCCTATAGGGTTTCCAAGGAGTGCCTAGTGGATTTGAACTGCCGACATTTTGGTTAGTAACCAATCTCTTAACCACTGCGCCACCAGGGCTCCTCTTTGACCATTCAAAAAACCAAACCCATTGCTGTCAAGTCAATTCTGACTCATAGTGACTGTATAGGACGGAGTAGAACTGCCCCACAGGGTTTTCAAGGAGCCCCCAGTGGATTCAAACTGCCAACCTTTTGGTTAGCAGCTGTACAACTTAACCACTATGGCACCAGGGTGTCCTTTTTGACCATAGTCATGTGTAAAATCAAGGGAGTAAGATCTCTATTGGAAAAAAAGATTCATGTCAAAAAATCATTCACTTCTTACAAACGGATAGTTTTTTGTGCAGAGTTCATACTCGTGAGTTAGATACTGAAAGATTGGTAGAGGTGAGGAATTCCAGGAGTATTTTCTGCTTGAATCTAAATGTTGAAGCAGGTTTGTTTTCTATTGTCCATCTCACTTTTTACTGCAGGCATTCTCAACATCTCCAACTATTGTAGGAGCTCGCGCCCAGATGCTTATGGTGCTCAAACACATACATAGAAGTGCAGGATTTTTTTCTGAAACTCTCTCATACGTCTAATTATTTATGTGGGTTTCCTATAGAATCGTTCGCAGGCTTCTCGAACAAAATATATCCACAATCAAACCCTTAATCTTTTTTTAAAAAAATCTACTTCTCCTCTGAGGAAACAGCACCTTCAGTGGCTCAAAAGAGAAACCTGGAATCACCTGAATACCTCCATGTCTACATCATCCTAAACAGCCATCATCCAGTCTTATCACTTCTATTCCACAATGCGCTGTGACTCCGCTCTCTTCTGTCTTCTATTTTAGTGCTAGTCTGAAGTACTAGGAGACCTTCCTAGCTTGTTTTAGGAATTTGTACTACTGCCACACTCATTTCAGGGAACTGCAAGGGTGATTTTTTTTTTTTTTTTTTTAAAGACAAATATCTTATCACATCTCTCCCCTGCTTAAAACTATTCGATAACTTCCCTTGGATTTAAAATAGTATCCAAAATCTTTGGCACACCCTTCAAGGCTTTACTTATACCTCCTCTCTCCTGCTCATTACACACTTCAGCTACCCTGATACCCTCTCTGCATTTGGAAAGCAGCAAGCTATTTCACAACGAGAGCCTGCACTGCTTATACTCAGACTCTTCCTAGTCTTCACACGAGGAATTCCTCTTCACTTTTCTGGTGTTGGAGGAGGCTGCATAGGTCCGGCTCACTATTATTACTCCCCATTGCTAACTCCTGCATTGTCTCATGATCTTGTTTTTCCTTCCTGTTCCAGTCGCTATAAAAAGTTTAAAATTAACCAATGTTCCTCCTTGGAGGGTGGAAAACAAGTGATAATGATCTAAGAATGAAAAACCGAACAAAGCACCCATCTTCGGACAAGAAAACCAGGATGTTGCCAGATAACCCCCAAGAAAAGATTAACTTATCTGGGATGTGACCACCTCAAGGGGGAACTAACACAAACTTCTAAGACCTGTAATCCTGTCTCTATAAAGCCTTTGGCCAATCTCTAGTAGGGGAGACAGGTTTTTGGAGGAATCTATTCCCTTCTCTCTCCTATGTATTGATACATAAGAAAACTCTTGCTGCTCACCTCACCCCGTCTCAGAATTGGCTATTGCGGCAGGCAGCTCCAATCCATGTTATTGCAGTAACAGTATCAGTATGAATGAAATTTCTTCTGAAAGGCCCTCCTAACCTCTTGAAATATGAAGATTACCACCTTGCTCTCCCTTGCATTACTCTTATTTTTTCTTTTATAGCACTTATTAAAAATTGAAGTTATAAAATTATTTGTGTTTTTATGTATTTTCATTCTCTTCCATGAGCCTTTAATTTACATCATAGAGTTTTCAGTATGTACCTGACACATGGCAAGTAGTCAATAAATATTTCTTGTATGAATGGACAAATGAAATAAATTAATTATAATCTGTGTAAATGAGTAATAATTTACTATAGTAAATTATTGTTGTAATATATAGTAACAATTACAGATAATTTATCTCTAATCTTCTAAAATTCCAAATGCTAAGCAAAATGCCAATTTGTTAAAGAATTCAGAAAATCATCATATATAATAAAATTTAATTTGCCTAAAAACAAGATTGGTTTAGTTTGCTAAAGTATACTTTGTTTTTACTTTAATTAAAAAAATAAACTAACATCTATTATTTGTTTCTGCTACATTTTAAAGTGCTAAAATTATAATCCAATCTGAGAAGGAACTTTTATCGCAGCCATCACAAATAAGGCCCTGTAGATGGTATGAAAGATTTAAACATTTAAATTAAATCAGCTGTTTAAAGACCATCCAGATTTAATTGCCATTTGACAATGCTCAAGTACATTCTTTGAATTATGGAAATGAAGCTTCAGCATAATGAAGATTAGCCAGGAGCCCTCATGTGAGAAATAAATATGAGCTGTTTAAGATGTTTAATCACAATATTTTTAGAGGCCATTTTAAATCAATGTCGTATAAAAATAAGTTATTCAATATTTTAGAATATTTTAAATGAAAAATTGAAAATGACTAGAAATCATCAAATCCTAAAAAAAAAACTCTTCAAAATGTGCATCATTTGTATCTCTTATGGTCGGACTGGTTCATGTTAGGTTTTTTTTTCTTCTTTTCAAAGAAATCCAGAGGCTTCCAGGTTCTCATATACATGCAACAGAAATTCAATGCAGCTTTTTCTTCCTTAAAAATAAATCTAGTTATCAAAGTGGCGAGCTCAGTTATCAGATAGTCTGTAGTCTGTCTAGGAGATAGGAATCCTTGACACCGGTGGAAAGTTCGGGATTAAAAAGCTAACTTAACTGCTATAAAAAGGTGAAGCTCTATGGTCTGTATGGAAAGAACAGAGATCCCCCAATACTTGCTGCGTAAACAAATTATTACAAGGTACAAGAAAAAAGAATATACTTATGCACTTTATCATATATGTAGATATATATGTGTATATATATAAATATACACCCACACATATGTATACACACATTTAATAACGTATGTGTATTTGGTTCACTATAGAATGTGTGCATGCATACCAAATCATTGGAATGAATGGAAAACTAGACTGCGTATTTCCACATGAACAAACTAGCTACTAGAAACAACATGGATTCTTCACTTCCACTGATTTGTCACCGAAACAAACAGATCCTTTGAATAGGATTTCAGACTCTAGTCCCTTAAGTAACAAAACTCAATTAATTTGAAAATAAGATTCCAAGATACTCTGGCTGGCTAATTCTAAAATCAGTGTTTTCATCTAGGCATAACTGAAGGAATTAATTGCAAAATTGGCTGGGCCATCAGCCCTCCCCCCAAATGTTGTCTAATCCTATTGCTAATGGCATAGGCTACATTTGTACTTATCCCCTTTATAAATCTACAAAGAGTTTGTAATTTTCAAAGGTAAATATAAAATTTCCAAAAATAGAGAAATTAAATGATGAAAATCCAATAAAATAAATGTACTTAGATGGTTTAATGAGCAGTCGTCAAGTTTTTGGATTCATGATCCCCTTACATTCTTAAAATTACTGAGGATCCCAAAGCACTTTTGTTTATATATGTTATATTTATTGATTTTTGTTATGATTAAAATTAAAATTGATAACAATGTGTATAATTTATTTGAACATAAATAAAATATTTTTATGAGAAATAACACTGCTCCCAAAAATTTAGTGAGAAGAGCAGCATTGTTTTACATCTGACTTAAGGGGAGGGAGCTGGATTCTCTTGTCTACTTCTGAATTCGATCTTTTATATTATATTGCTTTGGTTGAACAATATGAAGAAAATATGACCTCACACAGATATGTAGTTGAAAAAGGTAACACTGTAGTAGCCTTTAGAGACAATTGTGCAACTCTTCTTTGATACTACACGAAAGTTTGACAAGTGGTAGTTTTTTTAAGATTAGTTGAAATGTAGAATCTGAAACTAGATCAATGAACTTTTCAGACCCTGTTACATTAACCCCTCTTGTTCTTCTTGGATTTTGAATTGCTCACTTACACACACACAGCTTTGTAACATTACACATTAGTCATCTGGAAAATATTGATTCAGAGTTATGCATATCTTACAAATATCAACACATTTTA